TTTTTTAGTGTGCAGTACCTAAAGTATTTGTATTTGAGACGAAACCAGGTGCTTAAATGACAGTGCATGTATTTTAAACCTCCTGTTTTCTAATGTTAATAGGGCCTAAGATAAGTACGGCTAGACTGGCAGTCTAGCCGTACTTAAGTACAGGTAGACAGCCAGGCTGTCTAGCCGTACTTAAGTACGGGTAGACAGCCAGGCTAGCCGTACTTAAGGACGGCTAGACTGTCAGGCTAGCCGTACTTAATATTGATGGCTAAATTGTAAATGAAATATTTAGTTTGCAATGCCTAAAGTATTTGTATTTCAGACAAAACAAAAAGGTGCCTTACTGACTTGCATGTATTTGAACCTGAATAATTACTAGATCTAGATCTAATGAGACCTGTGTACTTAACAGGCTTGAGTCGATAGGGCCAAACCTAGATCTAAGTACGGCTAGACTTGCAGTCTAGGTTATCCGGAAAGACACAATTGTTAAAATGACCCATTCTGAAGAAGTTAGCCTACCGTATTTTATCAAAAGGCTGTGCCTGGCCTCTCTTTTCCGAGTGAGGGTCAGGGAGATATTATTCTAGGCACAAATTTTGTGTCCGAGAATCTTAGATCGTCCACCACAACATATTTCCGGTCCTACTCTAGATTTTTCGGGCGCGCCATTGGAGCTAGCTAACAGTACGCGCACACGACACGACTTAGATGATAACAGAGAGAACGCCGAAACTAAAGCGGCTAAAAATCGCCCCCCCCCCCCCCCCCCCTTTCGAAAGTAGTGGTCGCGCAAAAGAGTGCGCTGCCCCGCCATGGTAATGGTAGAAGATCTAGTTTTTGTTTGATTGTTTCGTTTTGTGTCAAAGTAGTGGAGTATCTTTGGTCATCTTTGGTCGAATGGGAAAGGAAAACTTAATTTAGACGGCAGTCACGGTACAGCTCACTAGGCCTAGGTGTACCACCACTGCCCTCTGTGCCACATTCATCCCACCTCGCGCGAGATACATAATCAGGATTATCGGATAGCGATAGCGATCCGAGGGGCAAAGGTGAAATCGCAGCCAGTCACTTAAGTACGGCTAGCCACTTCGTATTTTAATACCTATCGGCACTTACTGAGTCCGTCTCCGAAATCGACGTTCTCTATGTTTCGCCCTTAAGGTAGCAATCCATATGTGCGGGACGACAGCGGCAACGGCACAGCAGCGGGACGATATATGAGGTACCGCAAGTCACATTAACTCCATATGTGCGACAGCGGAAAGGCAGCGGTACGAAGTGTGCGATATCGCAAGTGGCAAATTCAATAGGGGAAGGCATGTTGGCGCCTTTTTTGTTTTGAGCAGCATGGCACCTACCCAGTCAAAACCAGGGTTGGTGATTTTTTTGATTTTTTTCATAAAAATAAAAAAAATCGATTTTTAAAAATTTATATCATGATTTTTTAAATTTAAATCAGATTTTTTTTTTTTTATGTCGACACAGTTTGGGATGTTTGTTTGCTAAAAGTATGTTCTTTTAGTGCAAAATGCATTGTCTTTATTTTTACTAATGATTAATTTAAGCAACCGCAAAAGAAAGCCTTAATCTGCTATATAATAGTATATATAAATATATATAAATATATATATATATATATATACATATATATATATATATATATATATATATATATATAAGAAAATGTCAGTCTAAAAGGAAGGGGGGTGGGTAATTATGCATAGATAAACTTGCATTTTATTACAGTGTGTGTGTGTGTGTGTGTGTGTGTGCACGCGCCTGTGTTTGTCTAAAAAGAAAAAGAAAATGTTAATTTCAATAATTTAAAAAAAGTAAATTGAATGTTGTATTATTTTACAGTGACAGGGGGGAAAGCAGACTTATAAGCATGATTTTATTAGTCTACTAAACCTTATATACTGTTTTATAAAACCAAGGAAAGGAATTCTGAATATTTAAAGATGTAAAAACAGAATACATTTTTAAAAGTGATTTAAATCACTGAGTTTTATTTTTAAAATCACGTTGATTAAAAAAAAATGTTTAATCAACTGATTTAAATCAACCCAACCCTGATTTCAATTATGAAAAAAAAGTCAATTGAATACTCTATTATTTTACAGTGACAGGGGGGGGGGGGGGCAGACTTTTAAGCATGATTATATTAGTCTACTAAACCTTATGTTTAATAAAACCAAGGAAAGGAATTCTGAATGTTCAAATATGTAAAAACTGAATACATTTGTTAAAAAGTGATTTAAATCACTGATTTTTATTTTAAAAATCAAGTTGATTGAAATATAAAAAAAATCAACTGATTTAAATCAACCCAGATCTGATTTCAATTATGGAAGAAAAAAAGTAAATTGAATACTGTATTATTTTACAGTGAAAGGAGGGAAAACAGACTTCTAAACATGATTATATTTGTCTACTTAACCTTATATCTGTTTTATGAAACCAAGGAAGGGAATTCTGAATGTTGAAATATGTAAAAACTGAATAAAAAGAGATTTTTTAAAAAGTGATTTAAATCACTGATTTTAATTTTTTTAAATCAAGTTGATTTAAATTTAAAAAATCAACTGATTTAAATCAACCCAACCCTGGTCAAAACTGTCTCGGTTAATGAAACAAGAACGAATACTGCTGATGATTTGGCTCCTGGTTAATAATAAGAAAGAACTTCGCCAGTATTGTAAAGTTGCAATTATCTTGATCTTTTGTCACTAGCATAACGTACAGGTCCATCCATTCCTTTGCCATTCAGGACAGCCCAGAAGGCACCATTTGGGAATATCAAGAAAACGGGTGGATGAACGACGACACAGGGGTGCAATGGTTTCAGCAAGTTTCCCGTGTCAAATGAATTGACTGCATCACACAGAGATTCTTCACAGTCAACCCTATTCCGCCACATTCATATTTTTGTCTGCGGCAGAGCTGCGGCAGCGGCAGCGGCAGAATCGCTCCTGGGTGCAATTTTTATCGTCCCGCTACCGTACCGCTGCCGTACCGCTTCCGTCCCACACTTGCCTATGGATTCAGACATTGATACACAGAATTCTGTGCATTGATATTTCTGTTGGAGCGATTTTTATCGTCTCGCTGCCGTGCCGCTGCCGTACCGCACATATGGATTGTCACCTTTAGGCTGCAATAAATGCAGCGGGACGAAGTGTGCGATATCGCAAGTGGAAATTCAATAGGGGAAGGCATGTTGGCGCCTTTTTTGTTTTGAGCAGCATGGCACCTACCCAGTCAAAGCCTATGCAGACAGAGGTCGTGAAAATATGAAGCAACAATTGAAGCTTGGTTTTTATAGGACTTTGAATTTCATGGAAGGAAAAGATCGAGAACAATGAAGTCTAGGCCGATGGCTCTCAAAGAAACCCGAGTGGGCGGGGGCTTGATTATTAATACGGTATACATGTTTTTTACGTACAGTGGAGTCCACTTAAAACGAGTCCGGAAATAACGAGAAGTCTGTTATAAAGGCATTA